AATTGGTAATTGACTTTTTTTGAATTGGTAATTGACTTTTTTTGAATTGGTAATTGAATTTTTTTGAATTGGTAATTGAATCTTTTTGAATTGGTAATTGAATCTTCTGAATTATTATCTGCTAGCAATGGACCAATCTGAACCTCAATGCCGAACCAATGCCTTTTGAACTACCATGTGGGACGCTGGGAAGCCTTCGGAGTTGACAATTAGTGACTAGGATATCTTTATGACTCAATTAACACTAATATTGTTGTACATTAAGTCTCGAATAGGGCAAAAAATTCAAAGCGTCTTAAATATGTTTGCAGTAATTTGTAAAAAAGTTGTCAACTACCATTATTGAGAAGTGTTCGAACACTAATAACTCTAAATTAATATCATCCGCAGCTTCAAAGAACCAAAAAATAAAGTTTTTCTAAAAAGCTACAAATATATATATATATGTTTTAATTTTTAAAAGTTAATTTTACTTGTGGTAATTTTTAAAAGTTAAAATTTTTCTAGGTTCCAGAGGAAACCAATTCAGAAAATTCTATTCTGGGCGGTTAAGATAAGAATTTATGTCCCATATTTTGTTTTGTTTCTTTCATTCGTATTATTCCTTATCGTAACTTTGTTTACAAGTGTACTTGTGCAACCAAAGGACCAAACAATAACAAAAGAGAGCAAAAAAAAATATTCTATATCCAGGGTTCTGTAACGATCAACTGTCACAGCGGCAACACCGATAACTAAATAGACAAAAACTGTTTAAAAACAAAATTCCAGAAAGAATGAATGATGTTAACTTCGCCTCTTCGAAAACGAACAAAAAGAAATTAAGAGCTAATAAATGCGAACAATATTCAGCATGGAATTTGTTTCATAGAAAAATGAGAACTTTTACTAATAATTTTATCCTTTTGTTATTCATTATTCGGAGAGTATTCAAATTTTGCTCCTAACAACCCGGTATAATTGCATATATAAAGTAAGGATCAATGAAATCACCATAACCATAACATCATAAACAAAACAAGAGTAAACATAAAAACAAAACTTCCATTGTACTTGTGCAAATGAGAAATTTGGGTAAAAAACGAACACAGTAAAATGGCCCGTGGATAACTCTCAAATGTTTGTTTTTTCAGTTACGTATAACATTTTAATCGAGATAAAATCATATTCCTCAACTTTATAAACTGAATGAGGAAAGAATAAAGGAGGAAAAAGAGATATTGATTTTATTGTGTAAAAGTAGTAGCCTTGATTGAAGCGTTTTTTCTCCGTTTTTGTTAACATCATAAATCAGTTAAAATCACACAGCTGAAAACCTTCATTTAACTTTCAGCAGCAATCGTATCGCCGTTTTCCAAAGCTTTCAGCGGAATAGAAATTGGGCTCACTTTTTTTCCGAACTTTTGTTTTTCATTGTTTTAAGAAATATGGTTTATAATTCACGTCTTAATTGCAATCAGTTTTGCTTTCAAGAAAAGTCTAGAAAAACTATTCCCCAATTCGCGTTATTGTGAAAATTCTTTTAATTAATAAATTATGCAACTAATCAAAACTTACACTGAAATAGAAACTGTTCTCAACCTTTTTACCCATATTTTATTGGGTTGTTCGGATAGTAATTTCTTTTTTTAATGAAAATGAAAGGCGATTTTCTTACTGTGAATAAATATTTTATTGAATCATATATTGATTATTCTGGTCCAATACCTTCTGCCATCTTTCTGACAGAAGCGTAATCGTTTTGTTCTTTGATGGCAAAAAAACCTCCTTAATTGAAGTAAAGAATCAAAAGGAACATAAACTATTTGCTTTGCATATACTGTACTTGTTGAAATATTTTGCCACGTTTCTTCCTTGTTATGTTTGTTCTATGTTATATTAAACTATTTGTTTGCTATGTTTTACCGTCTAAACACTTTTGTAGAAACCACTACATTGTTGTAGGCAATCCATTTCTCATCGCCAGTGATGATACGCTTTAAAAATTTAAAATTTTCGTGACATCAGAGAAGCGTTTACAAACATCGACGCGACGGCAAAAATTTCTTACCTTAAGAACGTTGAGCTTAGAGCTTTTAAACCTTATGCTTTTTAAATGATTCATTAAATTTAATGTCTTAGCAATCTCACAAGCTATTTGCCAATCTTAATTAATGCCTTTATTGTCTTAGTTAATGTCTTTATCAGCTTAAATTGGCCTTGATGCATCTTCGTACATCTTAATCAAAATTTTGCCGGATCGAAATTTTATAATGTTTTGGCTCTGGTTTATCCACGATTTGGCTCCACACATCTCCACATATTTTCTTGACAATAAAGAAGTAAAATATGCCAAATATTCTGCTTTTCACTATCCATATATGAAAGCGCACAAAGCCAAAACTACTACATAGAATTAATTGAATTTCTTCACAAGCTAGCCAGCCTTCTTACTATTTTGCTTCCAATAAAACAAAATAATTTCCTACTTTAATCCATATAGTCCAGGAAATTCTAATTAATAACTTATTTGATATTCAATTAATCAATATTTTCACAAAAATGGAGTCCTATAATAATTTAGTTTCTCCTTTTTTTTACTTTTTTTTAACACATATAGTTCATCATACAGTTTGATTTGTTACCCTGGATATGTAGTAGTACATCTGCCTCTAGTTTTTCGATACTCAGTGAATCCTTTGACTTTAGCAAAGGTTTTAAGGCAAATATAATGATATCTAGAAACAATACTGAGAAACAGGTATAGAAATGTCACCTATGGAAAAAGCGCGGCTTATTACTGTTGACACGAGCCCTTCGATTCGACGCTTTGATATTATCACTAATATTCTTTATATATAAATAAAAAAACATTTTATGATTTGTTTTGAAACTCTGCTTCTTGAGCTGTAAAGCGTTTAGCCCAGGTTTGAAAGAAACATGTCAGTACAATTTAATTTCTATTTCTCGCTGTTACGATTTTGATCTTTAATCTGGCTGCCTATCTTCTTATAATCGAAATTTTAAAAATCTGAATTTGCACTGAATAAGAATTTAAAAATGGAGGGAAAAAAATCGGTTTTAGGCCATAATTCCAACAATAAAATTTTATTTTGTTTTGATACGACGATAGATCCCCCCCCCCCAAAAAAAAATCTGAACATCTGTAGAATTACTATCTCTCTAAGACAAAAAATTTTCTGTTTAAAAGACTTTATTTTAAACATCTTTTTCTCTAATTTCAAACTAAATCATTTTAGTTCATTAGTTTCGTCATATAGTTTTATTTATCTACATTAGTTTCGTCATAATCACTCATTTCGTTAACCCAATTGGTATACGCAATTTAACTTTACTTTTTAAAGGTTAAAATGCTAATTTCTTGACTAATAAACGTTCTTGTTCCCACTTTTCACACATCTACAAACTACATTTTCATTTATTCATGAATGCTTGTAATCTTTTAGAAGGTTATTGCTCTAAGTCACACAAAAAAAACTACCTATATAGTTCTTTCTAAATTGCTAACTACTTTAAAGAAATGTAAGCGTCTGAAAACTTAAAAGACATACTTGCCAGAGTAACTCCTTCTAGACATTTCTAGTGGAAATGACCTTGAGAATTTGAATTGAAGAACAAGGTTATTCATTACTTATTCCAACTTAAACCAAGTGGCTTATCCAGAATGCATGCCGAATTGGATAGCTTATTTCAATTAAGGCTGCAATCTAACTAGTTGACTGATTTTTATCTTTCACTTCCATTTCAAAGCGCTTTTATGTGAGATAGGCCTAGGTTTAACCTTCTTTAGATATAACATGGGGTGCCACGATATCTCAATGATCATTTCCTTTCTTTTTTCCCCGCCAGACTTAGTTTGTATCACCGTTTTAATAGCTTAGTTAGAATACATTTTTTTTTTAAAATACAGAGTGTTCCTTAATAACCACCCTTAATATATATTTTTAGAATCATACTTAAAAATGAAGAAAAGTATGCATGTTCGGAGTGGCAAATAATTATTTCTAATCTACGAAATATAAGCTATCGAAATCTAAAGATTCACTAATGAAGAAAACAAGATCGAATGTATCGAAACCTATTTATTCATGGAGAAAACAATGTTGAAAGGCGAAAGTTAAAAACACCTCCAAGTCTCCTCCTAAAAGAAACAACTTTCATTCTGCCCTCCTCTTTAGTGATTCAACAGATCTATTGAGCGTTTTTGTTTGTTCCTCAGTTAATCATAAATTTGAATCTCCCTACGCAAATACATTTTTTATTTTAATTTGTAATATGTATAAGGGCGGTCATTTCGGAACACCCTACATGGTTTCTACATTGTAACATTGTAGTTTTAGTGTACTTTTCTGATGCTTACATTATAGTCATTATTGTAATTCAGCATGAGTATTAATTAGATTGGAAATTTCTGTTAGCATCATAAAATTATATGATTGCAATTCAGTATAAGATATAAAATAAATTAAGAAAACGAACTAAAATAAACTAAGAAAATGAACTTGGTCGCGCTTTCTTGATAAAATATAAATACGATATAAAGTCCAAAAAGTATGCATTAAGAGAAAGAAAATTATTATTTAAGCTAGGAAAGGAAACAAAGTTTGAAGAATCGCTATTGAAGAAGGCGGTATTAAAATTATCAAAACCAATTTGACTACTGGAAAAGACGTGTTCCTAATAATCACATTCCAGCTCCTCTATTTCCTCCAGCATTCTATTTTTGATATTTTTAATTCTTGTCTTTCTCAATGATTCATCAGATTTTAAAAACATTGTTTTCCCCTTTACATTTCATGTGCATACTTTTTTTTAATTTATTTTTGACAAAAATTCTAAAAATATTTAAAGAGTGGTGATTACAGAACATCAGTTTTCCTGTACTTTAACAATAAAAAAACATAAATTACAAAATCAAAAAATTTAACCTATCAAATTTACTTTCAACAAAAAACTATATTTTATAATCATCTAATGTCTCATACTGTTTTCAATTTCAGTTTGTGGTCAAGATGACATCTTTTCAAGCAAAGAATCCATCGGCTGCCAGGTTTATAAAAATGCTCTTCATTATCGTACTAGCTATTATACCCATATTGGAATCTGCACGCATATCTCCACAGTTTATGTCTGGCGGTCAGTCTTTTAACTCCTTACAACCACAGCAACAATGGAGCGGTGATAATATGCAATCAACAACCAGATTTTCATCGTTAATGAGTGGTTCTGACAATTCGATTATAAATCCTTTAAGTTTTCCTGGAATGGGTAAACTTCGTCTTTTGTCAACGCTGTTTACTGGGATGCAAAATACTGGATTGGAAGCCACAATAGCCGGAGAAGTTCTTCAAAGAATGATTAAAACGTCCCTGAAAGAAATTATAGTGCCTTTTAAACAACAAATGTTCACCAGATTTACTTAAATACCTTCTCATAATTGCAATTTCGATAAAGTTTTTATTTATTGACTGCTTTGCATCGAAATTCAGTTAGCTTGTGTAATTTTATGAACTGGTCATTATTCATTCTCTGAAAATAGCCATTTTGATCATTTTTTCCCCTCCCTTTCACCTTAGCAACAATGAAAAAATGAAGATTTGCAATTTAGAACATGGATTTTTACAGTCAAATATGTTTTTATTTCGAAAATAATTGTTCCAACTCTTTCAGAGATGTGAGAAGTCTGTCAATGCCGTAATTCTGAAATGAAAAACCCTAGATTTGAGGTAACCAAGATTCTCTTAAATGTCTTAAGTTTAAAAACATATTCAGTATTTCAAAATGGATTTTATTTATTGACAGTTTTATTTATTTGATTTTTTTTTTCATTTGATTATTGATTGGTATATAATAATCTTTGAAAATGGCCATTGTTCTAAAATCGAATTAATTTCCATCGCATAACTAATAATTGGAAAGCGGCTTTCTTGGCATAGCAAGAAAAAAGGAAAAGAGAATATTTACGATATGAAAGCGAAATGTTTACAGTGGTATAGTCTAACAGTGGTTTTTATTTCGAACATATTACCTCAAGATTTTCTAGAGCTACGTGAAGTGACTTCCGTCATTCGAAGTCATCAAAGATCTGATATCTGTCAGTGGTGTTAACTGTAGAGCAAAACACTAGATTGGAAGTTACCAAGGTTTTCTTATCTACTGCTTGCTGTGCTTCGAATCTGTGCTTCAAATTGAATTTTATTATTTTATATCATTTGATTGATTAGTATTATATTTATTTTCTATAATCCCCATCGTTCTAAAATCGAAACAATTCCCATTGCATAAGCAATAATTGGAAAGTTGTTCTCTTGACATTGCAGCTACAAGGGAAACAGTGGTTTTAATTTCGAACGTAAATGTCCTAAATTTTACAGAGATGCGGGAAGTGTGTTTTCAGTCAGAGCTGTTATTCTGGAGCGCAAAACACTCAATTTGAAGCCACCAAGAGTTTCTTGAATATCTTCATTTAAAAACCTTATCAATACTTCAAAACAGATTATATTTATTGGCAGTTTTATATTATACGTTTTAATTTTGATTATTAATTGGAGTAATATTCTTCCTGTGAAAACGGTCATCGTTAGGAAATTAAATTCATTTCCATATCGAAAACACTAATTGGAAAGTGGCAATTTGCTATTAATATTCCAATTTTTTTTCCCCTGATCTTCGAGTATTGGCTCTGTTATTATGAACACAAAATGCTCCAACTTTTCCACGGATATGCGAATGCTAAAGAAGGTAAATTCAATCTTCCATGCTATGCACAATGCTATGTAGTGCAAAAACTGGATAGAAGACCACTACAATGGCAAACCTGTTCTGTCAAAGAGAAAAGCATAAAGACATTTTAATTTCTTTAATAAGCTTTCAAGACAATTTTTTTTTCTTACTTTCCAAGTTGCATCATTTCAATTCTGTGCAAGCTAAAACCAATGTATTGAAATTTAGTTAGTTTTTTTTTATCTTGAATGTTTGATGGTACAATATTAGTTCTTTGAAAATGTTCGCCATTACCTGTTTTATACTTTATTACAATTTTGAGAGAATAGTAATAGTAACATAATTTTTTTTATTACAAAATTATTTATTTTCTTACATCTTGAAACATCCCATTATGAATAAATTTTAGAAGAAAAAATCAGATATGAATTGTTGTTGAAATCTTTTTTGTGGTTTAAAATATGCATTATATCGCACCCCGACAAGAACAGTGTCATTACTCTAAAATGCAGCATTTGAGAAAAATCAAAGAATACTATAAAACTTGTTCGGAAATAGACACAAAACTGACACAACTGCCCTCAGCTGGATAAATTACGAGTCATACATATTTTTTATTGACATAACCTCAAAACTACTGTTTTTTGACTTTTGTCACTTTTCTTGCCAAGGTGCGATATATTGTTCATGACGGTATTGCTGTAAGTAAAAATTACTGCAACTAAATCACTTGGATACCTGCAAGCGATATTAGCGTGGGCAAATCGTGGCATTCACTTATGATATTGTGTGTGCTGATAGTTTTTAAATGGGTGAAGAAAACATCTGTTTACATAAAAACGAAATAAACTATAGTAATATACTGTTAAATATTAATATTTTTTGACAATACATCGAAATATAAAAATTCTTCTATTATCGCTCATTAGTGAAGAATGCTCCTGTTGGCGACAATTCGGAAATGCAGTCACCCACAGATGATCCTATAACCCAAGAGCTCCTAAATTGCAAATAATATTGGCTTAACCCTGGATAGCCAATAGATAACGTTAGATAAATCAGATGAATAAAGAAGTTATCAAGCCCGCTAGTAGCAAATATTTTTAAAGAAAATAATAAAACAAAACGTCTTTAGTTTCCCAGAAAAATCTTCTAATAATGATTTTAAATATGTAAAATATTGTAACAAAATATGTAAAACATCGAACAAAATATGTAAAATATTGCATAAGTGTATATTGCCGAACTACTGAAAAATCAAGGTAAGTGTCAAAAATTTCAACATTGAGATTTTTATATACGTGACTTATTTGGATGGTTAGCAGCATACAGCATATTGAAAAAGAAAAAAAAATTCAAAAATAAATTTTGTTTTATTAGTTTTTGAAATTCTATTTTAGCTTTCATAGCATTAGCAATAGAAGGAAATTTGTTGTCAAATCACTTTTCTTTAAAATTTACTAAGATTTTGGTAATTAATCTTGGAAATTGATATTTCAGTCTTGTTTCTATATAAGATATCTTAAAAAGAATCCGGCGAGATTTGAATGAATTTAAATTACATTTTGAGACGGAATAGAAATATTTTCTCAGTAAATAAGATTTGTATCAGCATATTCACATTATATTAAGAGAACGTTTGACACACAGGCTCAATTGACACAAAATATGAACTTATAGTCATTCTACAAGGTCACGCTTTCCCTCGTTTTTCTCTTGTCACCTTTTGAGAATATTGACTTATTTGTTGGATGTTTTCCTGAACCGTTATTCCTTACAGGAAGGATCTTCCCTGGAAAATGCCTCATTCTATTCAATGCAAAACAAGTGGTTTTTCTGCTGCATACTTTTTTTCTTTATCTTTAATAGAACTTTTACTTAGAGAAAATTAACCTAAGAATAAATAATTAATGAAAAATAACCTTTACTTATATTTTTAAAGCAAACAATACTTTTAAGAAGGAGAAAATTACAATTTACAGAAAATTAAATCTGGGTCTCGTTCGGGGCCTCCTTACCAGACGCGTCCCACGGATCACCGAAGTCAAGCATCACTGGCTGCGGTCAGTGTGCGGGCGGGTGGCCACTATCAGTCTGCGTAGGGACCGAGGGTGTGCGGTATTGGTTCTCGTTAAACAGTTCTACCGAAAAGTGCTCGCCTTCGCTAGCAGGTCGGCGGGCTACGGAAGCGGGGGGGGGGCATCCTCTCTGCAGAGGATCAAAATTGTGATGGCATATCTTCGGATCATCCTCAGGGATGTTTCCCAGACCGTCGCCAATAGCCTATTGTGCAGCTCTGATGTGACGTGTATATATATATATATATATATATATATACATAAAAATTCAGTTAGAATTGAAATNTGTGTATATATATATATGTATATATATATATATATGTGTGTGTGGATTTCTGTTGGAGAATCCCCGTGAGGAATCTCAATTCAAAGAACGTTAATTTGGAAAGATAAAGTAGTTAGGTTTCAAATATTCGTACAGAAATTTTACTACAAGTTTTTTAGTTTCTCGAGGAAGTTGATCAGCTTAGTTTCAAAGTTTTATCAAGAACAGGGAATCAAACTTTTATCTATGAAATTGTCATATTTTTTAACAGAATATTTCGTAAACGTTTCTTGAACGAGACGTAATGGATTTACACTGAATTGGAAAATATTATCAAAATCTCATAAGCCTGATCTCACACTCTCAAGGTGTTTAATCAAATTGTGAGGTTGACACAAGTAGTTTTTTTTTCCAAGTCATGACTGATAAACGCGATCTACACGTAACCGTGACCACAGACAGTTTAGTTTTGCTATTTTTCCTTCTGCTTGTTTAAATGTGATAGTAGTGTTCGAAGGAAAGACACTCAAGAAGTAGTTTTGCTCGCGCAACTTCGCTTTTGGTTTTTTAATATTATGTAAATAATTAAAAAATATGAATACAAACGTGAGGCAAAGGACAAGACCTGTTTTGACAGCGGGTGGTGCATCTCAGAATTCAATATTCAGCGATGAAGACTTCGGTAAAAAACGATGTCCACCACTCATTACTGACCGAACTTGGATCGTGATTTTTATATTGTATTTAGCTATATTCTGCTTGGTACTCTATAGTGATTTAATTAGATTTCCCGCGCCTGTGTCTGTTGCATCACTTAAAAATGTTGAGAAACTTCGATCATTTCAATTTAGCGAAGAACGAGCCCGGAACTTTGTTGTAGAACTCAGCAGCATCGGTCCAAAACCTACCGGGAGCTACGAAAATGAAGTTGTTGCTGTTGATTATATCACCAGACAGTTGCATTACATAAAAACTCACTCTAAGCCTTTTAATAAAATTGAAGTTGATATTCAAAAAACCAGTGGGTGCTTTCCCTTGACGTTCAAAGATGGAATGGTTTCGTGTTATCACGATGTTAAGAATGTCATCGCTAAAATCGGACCTAATAAAGCCAATAGTAAAAGCCTTGTGATAAACTGCCATTTTGATTCTGTGCCTACTAGTCCAGGTACATATAGTTAAATTAAATGTAATACGTTTGTTCTGGGAATTTTTGTGACTTGACTTGAGCCATTTAAACCCTATTCAACATTTTTACACTTTGATTGTACCAATAATCAAATTGAAACATTATTAGTAAGCCTCAAAATTAAGGATGATTTGGGATCATGATATAATTATCAATGGCCAATCAATCCAACCAGGATATAATTATCAATAAGCAGTTATTGATGCAAAGAAATACTGTGCTGTTTTTTTAAACAAAGTTTCTGTATGGTGGAAGTAATATTCATCATTACAAAACAAACTTCAGATACAATAATTGTTATGTTTCAACAGATCGCACACAATTTCTGCAAAAGAATTTTTATTATCAGTTTAGGTAACAATAAATTTTTTTTTAAAAAAAAGAGTGTAATATATTTTATAAAATACTAGTAATGTGAGATTCAAATTTTGTGTCATAATTGCTAGTAATAAAATTAATAATAATGAATTATATTAATAATGATTAATACCAGGATATTCAATCATTTTCAGATAAACACCAAGTCAATCAAACTAGTAAAAGTCATACTAAGGGCCAATATTATTAATCGTGGAGCCACTATTGCCAAAATGAAGGAATATTTTTAAAATCTATTTAAAAGTAATATGAATAAGTTATAATTTTTTAACCAGTTTTCTTCACTTTATCATTGAGTGCGGGTAATAAAATTAAATAAAAATATTTTATTTGTAAGATGTAATTTTGTGTAATAAGTTTCATTTATATTTTTTCTTATAATCTTTTACTAGCAAAATTACATTATTGTTTGAATTATAATAGCTGTTTTTAACTGACATTTTGAAATTGTTTTTAATTTTTTATCCTGTTAATGATGGACATAATGAACATTTTAATACATAGTTTTTTACTCCAATGCATCTGTAAAAAAAATTATTGAAAAGGATTTTTTTCACAATAAATATTACGATAATCAAAATCATACTAATTCTTAGTTCTCAAACTCAATTTTTGAAATCACATTTTATTTTAATATTGCAAACACCTTTCTAAATCTAAATTATCATAATATTAACAGTAAATTGTCATAATGGGGCATCAAAGAAACTGTTAGAAAATAAGTTCAAATTCCCTTTTTAATAGTAATTTTCTTTTTAATTAAAAAAAAAGGATCAATTAAGTTATTTTATAGTGAAACTTTTTCAAGCTTCAGTTAAGGTGTTTGAAGTTCTCAAAGTATCTTTAAAAAAATCATAATCTTGTTATGCTATGACAAAAAAAAAAGACACTTTTTTTTTATAGAAACACATTGTGAAAGACTAAATACGAGGCATGTAAAAAACAGCTACACTCATCATTTGTAAGTTTTTGTCATTTAGAAAACATTTTCAGTTCTTGGTTCATTATAAATCTGTAAGTATAAAAGTGTTATATGTTTAAATAATTTTTAAAAGTATTCTACAGTAGTAAAATAAATTTATGGTTCTTCCCACTCAAAATCTCTTTAACCTGTTAGGGTTTTAAAGACTTTTTTTAAGAATTTTCTTTACTCTATTTTTAGCTATAAATGTTTATGTAAGAGTTTTCAAAATTGCATTAATAAGAAAATATTCTACCGTAAAGTGCTCTATTTCACATGCAGGTCTTTGGGCTACCAAAGCGGAGGAGCCATCCCCTCTACAGAGGATCAAAATTGTGATGGCTTGGATCATCCTCAGACATATTTCCTAGACCGTCGCCAATTGCCCATTGTGCAGCTTTAGTGCGACATAAATAAAATACCTCCCTAACCTATTAAGAAAATATTTATTTAAAACTTTAATGTCCGATCTAGGTAATATTTTCCAGAATATTAAGGTTTAATTTCAATTTAGTTATAAATTATTTACCTTTATTGTTGTTTCTAGTGATCATTTATTATTTGAATAATAGATGTAAAATATTTGTGCAGGTTCTAGTGATAATGTTGTAAGCTGTGCTGTGATGCTAGAAGTTTTGCTATCTCTTTCTCAACATGATCAGGCTCTTCCAAATGAAGTTATATTCTTATTCAATGGAGCAGAAGAAAATATACTGCAGGTGGGAAATTTTCATATTTGTAAATGTTCAATAATTTTGTTGAAAGGCCGGGATAGCCTGGTTGGTAGGGCACTGGGCCCGTGTCCAAGAGTTTGTGGGTTCGATCCCCGCCGTCCGGAGACTCCCAGTGTAGTAAATGGTGACTGATGCACGTTAAATCTGTCGAGTCACAGAGTCCTCCATGCTCTTGTAACAAATCATACCTCTAGGGGTACTGATCCAGGAGTTTCCTTGTCTTCTGTATTGGTTCAAAACTACAAGGCTACGGAGGTGAACATTAGTAGTCGTAAATACGAAATTGGGTTGGCTGTTCGACGACGGATATAAAAATAAAATTAAAATTTTTTTTTGAAATTAAATGCACTACATTATCCAAAATAAATATTAATAATAGCAAAACTCTAGAAATATTTTGTGTCAGAATGTTAATTTACTTAAAAAACTTTTTATACATCTTTAAATTTATAAATTATGTTTGAAGTTGGGAAGTTACATTTTAAGTTCACAAGCTTTAATAATGAATATTTTAATGGGTTTTAATTTAACTAGTCAGTGAAAAATATTCAAAGGCTTAATTTCTAATTTTTCAAGTAATCAAATTTTTCTGGTCCTTCATCAGAAAGAATTTTATTTTAGTTTTTTAATCTTTTTCAGCATTTCTAAAAAATCTAACCAATTACTATAATATGTATATATTTATGTAAACCAGAATTGAGCAAAGTTTGTTAGTTTCCGTTTTTCGAACTCATCTTAAAACATAATTTTTTCTACGTAGCTTTCAAGGCTCCAACTTTTCTTACTAAACTTACAATTGTAACTTCTTAATGGAATTTCTGGAATATTAACAGTACTGATATGACAAGATTTTTTTTAATTAATAATTTTTTACTGGTCTTTATTTATGTACTATTTCTATATATTTTTGTTCAAATTTATATATTTTATTGTGCTTGTCAGTGTTTTTCCCAAAATAATTTTATTCTGCTTTTATATTCTTAGGCTGCTCATGGATTTATAACTGAACACCCATGGGCGAAATCAGTTGTTGGTTTCGTAAATATGGAAGCTTGCGGTGCTGGGGGCAAACAGATGCTTTTTCAAGCTGGTATTATTCTTATTTATTTATTTTTAAAAAAAAAAATCTTAGTTTTGCTACGTGTTTTTAATATGGGAAATATAAGTTAATTTTGGGATTTTTTTATAAGTTAAATACTTGATACTTATAATTCGGTGTATTTTTTTATGAATTAAAATTTATTAGACATACTTTTATCATTTTTTGTGTATATATTTGATTAAACAGGAAAATTTGCTGTATCTACATAATAGTATTTTGTATTTCATTTAAGAAAGGTGCTGATAAAGGCTATAACTTCTAAGTTACTATTTCTCTATGTTTGAGTAAACAGTCAATGCGACTCTTTCAAACAAACATTCCGCATAATTAATTCATACTTTCAATACACGAAACCATATTTGTATGTATTCTGTTTTTACATATTGGAAACTTACATATTGGATCTGTTTTTACATTTTTATGATTAAACAGGAAAATTTGCTGTATCTACATAATAGTATTTTGTTTTGTATTTCATTTAAGAAAGGTGCTGATAAAGGCTATAACTTCTAAGTTACTATTTCTCTATGTTTGAGTAAACAGTCAATGCGACTCTTTCAAACAAACTTTCCGCATAATTAATTCATACTCTCAATACACGAAACCATATTTGTATGTATTCTGTTTTTACATATTTTTGATTTTAAATCAAAATAAATGTAATTGTGTAATGTTCATAAAAAACTATCAATGAATTTCAAATATCAATATCAACAAGATAACATATCAATAAGTTGCTTGTTGTTAAATTTAGTAAATTACTTAATTGCTGCAATAATCAAATAACTTGGATAAATTTGTTTCTTTCTTTCTTTATTTTTATTTAGTTTTTAAAAAAATTAAAATTAAAATCTTATTAAAATTACAAATATATTTGATTTTATCTGTTTCTATAATTAGTGGAACTCATACTACATTAGATATTTTTCTATATAGTTTTTAATTTATAAATATTGTATTTTATAAAACAATTTTTTGTGTTAACTAACCTACAAGATTTTAAAAATTCGTGCATTTAATCAAAGTACTTAAAATAGGGTTGTTTTACTTGAAATATTATGTTACACAGTATTCAGTTTTTCTAAAAGCAATAATGTGAACAAATTAAGTTTTTTGAACAAAATTATGTCCGAAAGTCGATGTGAGTTTACCCAACCATGAAATTCTTTCATTTACCTATATATTATTAATTATTGGAAAGAAAATATAATTGATAATGTTTGAATTAAAAGTAAAATGAGATAATCACATTTTCTTATGGCTAATTTATGTACATTTTCAAAACATTACACATAATGTAATCGATGATACATGCAAATTGAGAATAATCAAAGGCATTCCATTTTTTTTCTCCAGTTAAAATGTTTTATTTAAGAACATTCTGTAACTCCGCAAGCATGTTATCTAAAAACTAGTTTTTTTATCAGTGTTTCATTAAAATTCGTTTTGTTTTCTTATTCAAACGGCTACCTATATTATGCAATTACTAATGAACCAACATTGCCATAGCAGATTGTTAACTTAAATATTATATTTGTGTTAAATTAAGAATAGTTGGCTATGTGAAATTGCAATATAAGCGCACATTGTATAGTATTAAATTATATCTACCTATAGACATTTCTTTTTAATAAAGATACAGGGTTGCTACTTTACTGGGAAAATAGGAAAAACCTGGAAAATACAGGGAATTTTAAAATCAGCTAAAATAACAGGGAAAATGCAAAGAATTTTGAATTGTTCCTTACAAACTGGGGAAAATCAGGGAGTTTTATTTCTTATTTTTGTCTTTTTAAAATGCAGACATCTCAAAGTGCAATTTATAGAATATTTAAAGATGTCGAGCTGTTTCTTATTTCTCCAAGTTTTTCTGGCAGCTAAAACTGTAATCTTTATCCTTATATAGCTCCAAAGAGTTACCTATTAATATATTGTATATAATACGTGCAGGGAATTTTTTTCTCCAGATCTCAGTAGCTACCCTGAGATACCAGCACCCCCTAAAATACACCAAGTCCTGATTTTTGAGCATTATTTTTTTTTCATATATTTTTTGTATCTTATATTTACAAAGGAACATTTGTCTTTTTTTTTTAATTCTTTTTATTTTTATTTTGTAGTATTTTTAAAATATCTATTTTTATTTCAGACAGGGAAAGAACATGGTTGTTAATGGCTTATGCCAACAATACACCGTACCCTCAGGGATCCGTAGTTGCCCAAGATATTTTTCAGAATGGTCTGATTCCATCAGATACAGATTACAGGATATTTGAACATTTTGGAGAAATACCGGGTAAGTATATTTAAACTGATATAATTTCACTTTAAATATGATTTATTACACATTGTTTATAGCAGAACAGAGTTAATCAATTGAAGTCATGATTACTTTTAATCATAAATCACGATGCCTTATAACCATTGTGCCCACTTTAATAATAAATTGTTTTTAATTATTATTATAATTGTAATACAAGTTATAATGTTCATAATTTGGGATATGTATTATAAATTATGACCTGATTACAAGTAATAAAAAAATTATAAATTGCCTATGCATAAATACATATCAGGTACATAGATACATATTTTAAGATATACTCTTTTAAATTTTCAAAAAAGCTTTTATAAGGTTAGATATATTTTTATAGGTTTATAAAGTTAGCTTTTGTTACCATGTTTATTTTTTTTCTATTAATACTTTAGTGAAAATCATCATTTTTTTATATTTATGGCATGCTTGTGAAGTAGTATAGCATCACATATAGGCAGAAAAGAATGACTTTATTTCATATTTTTGAAACTCTAACCTTTTTGGCCTTAAAGTTAATTACTTTTAATTTTATTTAAAGTAGAGCTAGTATTAAATGAAGAAGCTGTTACAGAATCTGCTAAATGTATTTTGTAAGTAATTATTTTCATCATAGAAGTAAAATCAAGGCACCATTTTATTATGTATTCGAAAGACATTCCGAATCACCTTAAACATTCAATCCCTCAAACAAACTGTAGCATGGAAATAAATAGAAAAATTGAGTAACCCTTGTTACATTAAAGTGAATAAATAATAAGGTAGAAATAACATAATTTTACTAATCCTGACATCCACTGAAAGCTCTAAATCTTTTTTTGTTATTCATGTGCCTGCAAAATTTCTAAACTTAAAGCTAAAGGTATAGATTTTATTTTATAACTGTCGTTGAACAACCAACCCAATTTTTTTGGTTTACGACTACTAATGTACAACTCCGTATCCTTGTAATTTTAAACCCAATCCGGAAGACAGGGGAACTCCCGGATCAAGTGTTGGGAGAAATTTTTCTTCATAGAGGACTTTTTGATGGAACTAACCCGCATTTGCGTTACATGGACAGGAAAACCACGAAAACCTCCCAAGCTTAGCTTGACGGCAAGGGGACTCTAACCCATGATTCGTTTACCACTGAGGATATTTTATGTCAGCACTGTGGTCGGTGCAAGCCGGGTGCGGAATTTGTATCGACCAGCTATTGCTGGGATTTGAGCCAAGTTCATCTCCTTGGAAGTCGAACGCTCTATCCCCTTAGCCATCATGGCTCAAAGGTATAGATTTGACATATTTAGTAAAACATTCAATAAAAATGAAGCTTAAAAAAGTATGTAAACTTAAACTATTATAACTTTATTGCTTTTGCAAGTCCTTATATTGCGATTTTTTTTCTCCTTGTCCAGAAACCTATATTAGTCAGGCAGTTAAAAGTATCGCTCTAGCTAAAAAATAATTGAGGCTAAGCTTTTTCGAATTAATCAATAAAAATGTGATTAGTAGATTTTACAACTTACTAATATATCTATTTTACTTACCATACTATCCATGACTTACAATACTGTTATGCTACGCAATCTCGTTTGACTATTAAGAATGTAAAATTAAAAAGAATCTGTCTCCTTATCTCCTATTTCCACAATTGTACCTTTTTAAACTTCTGTTCTTGTTGTTTTTTATTAATGCTACAATGTGCACAGAACTTTTGTTTCCATTAAAACTCTGTTGCGTAACTTGTAAAAGCAAAATTAGCAATTATTTTTAAACTACTTTATCTAAAATACAATAATGGTCCTTGCAAAATATAGTGTGTGCCATAATGTTGCATTTAAATGCTAGCGCGGATAGAAGACACAAAATACAGCTTAATGAAAAAGGTATGTAAAGTCAAAATAAACCTTTTTTTTATTAATAAAACCTCTTTACAATAAATACTTGACAGTATTCTCTAATAATGTAGCAAGATTCATAACAGTGGAATATAGAATGATCTTTGAAAAAATTTAAAAAAAAATTGTCCACATCTTTAGCATATTGTTTACCAATCATATTTCTATTTATTTTGACTTTCTCTTAATTTTGACAAAGAGACCCTCAGTGTGATTTTGCAAAACTATGCAAGTATCATCTATATTATATTAAATAGAAGCTGATAGAGGAGGCATTTGAGAATGAATATTTAAAAGTTTTTGTTATACATTATCTTTAAGAAGTTGAGAGTTTTTATTTAATCAGAGCTTGAGCAGTTTTTTATTTTTCTAATTGTTTGGAAAGTTAATGCTGAATTTTGAATATGTTTTCCCAAATGATCTATTATATTTTGCAAATAATAAGATAGATCTATTATATTTGCAAATAATAATTATATTAATATCTACTGGTGTATTGATAGCAATATTAATATGTAGCCTTCAATGTTGTCTAATTTAAACACCCTGCAGAATATTGCTAGAATAAAGTTATAGTTTGTTTCTTTTAAGCAAAAAACTTAAACTTATTTTACTAAATTTAAATTGTCCAGAGGAAATATTATAATGTATTTAAATATTTTTTTTTATAATAAAAGAAGAAGTTTCAAATTTTCTTTAATTTAGTATTTTAAAAAAATAAAGAATATATTGACATTAAAAATAATTTTCTTTTAGGGTTGGACTTTGCTTATGTGAAAAATGGATATGTGTATCATACACAATTCGATGTGCCTGAAGCAATAACTGTTGGTGCTATACAGCAGGCTGGTAATGTATATTACTTTTTTAAACTTTTGCGTATTTTCTGTTATTCTGTAATAACTATGTCCCTATTTAATTGTTGTCCTTTTCCCCCCCCAGGATTAAATCTTCTCAACTTGATCCATAATGCTTTAAATTCCCCTGACATGACAAGTGTTGAAAAACAATCGAAGTTGCAGTTAGTGTTCTTTGATTTCATGGGAATCTTTATGGTGGTTTATCGAATTAGCGTGGCAACTGCTATCAATTTTCTAATTCTTATCCTTTCCTTTGTTGACATGCTCTACAGAAACCGAATTTCAGGTAAAATTATATTGTTATTCTTTGATAGTTATAAATTGGATTAAAAAAATAATTTTAAAAATGCTTCAGTTTTTCTTAGTATCTTCGCTCCCTTTTTCTTTAGAATGTGCCTGACAAAAAAAAGTGTTTTAAATGCAGTCTTTTGAAATATTTACAATACTACCATTAAAATCTTAAGAAGTTTACTTCCTGGTATCACAGAAATATCAAAACATTTAATTAGAGAAGAATGGGATGTACGACTTGCTGCATTCTGCTTTATTTTTAAAAAAAATAAAAAATAGTTTAAATGTTTACTAACAAATGATGCCTTTCATTGATAAAACTATAAAAGAAGAATCCATTAAAAAGATTCTGTTTTCATCAACAATGTGGCACAGTTTGAGGACAAAATTAGAAGATGTCTATGTGAATATTTCATTTGGAATGGGCCGACATGCAGCAGAAAACAATGTTTTTCCTGTCAGCAATTCCATCTGATGATGAACTTTGTTACTGAATTTGAAACTCAATGAAAATAAACAGTTCAGCCCCGATTTTTCATGGAATTGGGTGACAGAAGCATGGCAGATAACAAATATCAGTGATAATCCGAAAAAAACTTCAAAAAAATTAAGGCATGAACACGAAAAATAACTGATTTTGAAACTCTGTTACGATTCTCGGATTTTTTAAATAATTGATTGTAATGAAATTTGAAACTCGGTGAAAACTAATACAGCAGAGCCGCAATTACCCATGGAATTATAATGTAAGGGCACCACAGATAATCAAAAAATAAATAAATTAAATAAATAATTAAAAAAACAAGACGGTTATGCGAAAAATAATTTTAAAATGTATTTATACATGTTTATATATTTTAAACATGAAACAGAAATCTTTAGTTTTAGTCTAAATCACTGAAACAACAAATGATTAGGAGAAAACTAAAATGTTCATTTACTCTTTTAAGAAAATCAGTGATCGATCATGTGCAAAATAATTTTTAATGTCTTCAATGGATAATTAGGGCTCAAGTCTTATTGTACAAGGTTTCCTAAGCAGAATGCAGTAAACTGTACTCTTCTATCTTTTGTTTGTCTTTCATAACTCTTTCGACTTGTTTGCCATTGTTGGGTCAACCGATGTATAAAATGTAAATACTGAACTCCATTTTTTATAAAATAACAGTTAACTGTTGAAAGTAGAGTTAGGAGAAACTTTGCTTATTAATCTGAGCTTGAAAACAGAAGACTTATAAAAAGGTTTCCCATTATAAAAAGTGATAATCCACATTTTATACTATCACATTCCTTTATTGTAAACTGTAAATAGTTGTATCCAACAAGAGTTTTCATTCTGCTAAAGCTATATTTAATAGTAAGTGTTTCAATTTAAAGTATATAGTAGTAAGTAAATATTTATGAAAATGTAAATCTTTTTAACTCTTAATTACAAAAATACGAGTGATCGTTTAATTCCTCTCGGGAGGTTATACTGACAATTTTGTTAAGCTTAGTGCTGGGGATGTAAAAGTTTACAATCTAGTGCCCCTCTTAGTTTAGCTACTTTTTATATTCTTACAGAAAACATAAAAATTACTTAAAAGTGTTATTTTATAATAAGAAGTTACCAGGATCAGAATAATAGTACATTTATAATAGTAAAATTAGACAGTAAATCCAATCCAATCCAATGAGCATCCTATTCTATACTCCAACCTATTTACTCTTTAAAAGTGAATAGTAAAAGTACTTAGTCTTATCTTCTCACTAAAATGTTATGAAATAAAATTTCAAGCATGTTTATTAGAAGAGTTCATTCTTATTTTTGATTCTCAATTTAACAATTATTTATTTAAATGTGTTTTTTAAAATAAATATAAATTTTTTTAATAGGGATATCTTTAAAGACCAGAATTAATTTAGTTATGAAGGCTGCTGCTGTTCATATTGGGTCCTTTGTTGGAGCCATTTTGATATGCATTATTATAGCAACCTTTTTGGATCTTTTCAATGCTGCTATGTCATGGTACAGATCACCTTATTTAATTGTTGGACTCTATGGCTGTTCCTCTACTGCAGCTATTATATATTTTCATAGCTTAGCTGTTAGAAAAGATGAAGTAAGGATATTTATATTCCATTCTAACTAATTTCTTAGATCTTTTAATACAAAAAACATTTCTTTTATTATTTTAACACATTAGCTGCCATGAGACACATATGTTGTGTCTCATTACATTTTTTTTTTTAACATTATGGCAGCTTTGGTTAAATTACATGAATACCATGGCATAAAAATGAAATTTGGTATAACCTTATATGTTTATTACTTAGCATATAAAAGTATAAATGCATGGGTGCCACTCTTCAGTCCTGGAGACTGAAATCAGTCTTGAGAAAAATCAATGGACAAATTCTATCAATTAAATAAAATTTTCTTTTTTTTTCATTAGAAATTTAAAAAAAATTTTGGACAAAATAGAAAGAAAAATAAATTATATCTTAATGAAAACATATGATATGGTAATGATGTCAGGACTGTTATTTATCTTTTTGTCAGCTTCACTAAATCTTATTCTTAAATTATTGACAGATGGAATTGATTGAACTTCATCTACTTGTGTAATTAAATTTGTACTATTGCTGAATCTAAATCTGCTCAAGTTTGCTTCCCCTACCCTAACCTATTGTGATGCTGGCCAACGTTAAATCAAGATTATTTATTTAAAAAAAAGGAAATTATAGTGCTAGAACAAAAAAATAAGTAACGGTGATGTGAAAAATAGAGATATGAATGGTTTCAGGTTGTTCAGTCATAATTGTGCAGTAAAAATATACAAGGTTAGCTGTTATTTTCGTTTTGTTTGCTAAAAAAACATAAAATAAAGAAGTTTTTTTTTTAGAAAAAATAATCAAACGATTGATTTAATATGTAGGCTATTATCAAGGAAAGATAAATGTTGGTGTCAGTGAGCTATAAAATTCTAAAAGTTTGGTAAACAATGCTAGACAATATCATTTGGTCAAAAAATAAGTTCAGTCTTGAAATTTTTTTAAAGTGGCACCCCTGTAAATGTTATAACTATACTTTTTGTTGATGTAAGCTTATAATTTAAAATCTTTTATTCACTCGAGAGACATTTAAAAGGTGCAATTTATTTTACTTGTATGATTTTTTAATATTTGAGCAACAATCAAATGTCACAATTTTATGCTGTGTAACAACAATAATGTAACAATAATTTTAACAATAATGTAACAAATCATATTTTTTAAATGATGTTTGAAAGCTTTTTTTATATGTTTATTTTATTTTAACTTTGTATTGCATTTAACATCAGTAGAGATACTTAAGTCTAAAATTATGATACAGTTGACTAAAGTAACAAATGTGAATAAAGCACAAATCTAGTACAGAAATGAACCGTATCTGTACTTGATTTGTGCTTTATTCATGTCGTGGTTCACTTTAGACATTTTTTTTTTTGCATTTTTTTTTTCGTTTAATCCTGGAAACACAGCTGCTATTTTTTCTTATGACTATCATTGTACTTATATAAATTTTTTAATGGTATTTTCGTTAGAATTTATATTGTTAAAAATGAATACGTCTTAATTTTCTAGCAAAGTATCTTTAAAATGTTTGCAGTTTTTATTGAATAATGTTTATAATTTAAAACATTTTCAGAGTTTGAGGACAAAGTGGCTTCAAGAGGATGTTTATTTTGATGCAGCTCGTCTTGTGTGGATGATGTTTCTTCTCCTGTTAGAACTAACTAGACTCAATTCTTCATTCATCTGTTGTGCCTGGGTTCTTTTTCCTACTGTGATACGGGGTCTATTTGGCAATATGTTTAGTCTTGTTGGTTCAAAAGGTGGGTTCTATTCTTTTCACTTCATTTTGAATTTAAGTTTGTCTTATAAGGGATTGATTATACTCTCTGAAAAACAAAATTTAAATTGGGCATAGCTCAGAAATTTATTTTTCAAGATAAATTAGTCACATTTTCAGCCCTTTAAATGTACTTATTACTTTCAGGTAAAATTTTGAAATTCATTGGTCATAACAAAAACTAAAATTTGTGCTAATAAATTTATTTGTAAAGTTTTATTTTATTAAAATAAATCAGGATTTTTTTTATAAAGCATTAAAGATTGGTTTATGGTTTTAACTTAAATAAATTAGTTTAAATAATAAGTCAAAATAAATGTTTAAAAATGAGTTGGAATCTTTACTAAATTATTGATAGCATTAACTTTTGTTTATGTACACCATCTGAATATTTTCAGATAGCTGATGTGAGGAGAATTTAAAAGACTGCTTTTTTTATATGCCAATCAATATATTTGAAGAACGATTCTTTTACCTTTTTTTTACGAGGATTATTTTGGTAGGTGGTTAAATGTTGGATGCAAATTGTGAGTCTAATGTGTCCCTTTCATTTAAATATGATCTTAATTAAAATTTTCAATTTTTTCGAGGTAATTTTGAAAACAATTTACTCTTTTTTATGTTATAAAAAGATTTGTTTTTACATGCAATACATCTTTATATGTTTTATAACGAAATACCACGTGTTTCTAAATTATATTTAAAAGCTGATAATATTTTTGCTATACATTTGACAGATATAAAAAGCAACGGGCATTCCCTTTAATCTTTTGCCTTCCCCATATGATTTATCTTGCTTCGCTTGCTTTGTTTTAATTCTTAAGAGAAACCAAAGCATCTATCTCTACATTTCTTCCTTTCTTCTAATCTTGAATCTTATTTTTTCAGGAACACGTGAAACTCATTTGCTTGTTCATATTTCTATGCAGCTTATTCCTTTGTCTTTGTTATTTTACTGTGTATGGTCTATGTACAATGTCTTTGTCCCAATAATGGGTCGCATTGGTGCAATGATTAATCCTGATATACTTGTTGGAGTGTTTACTACTTCACTAGTTTTCTTGTCTACAACCTATATGGTAGGAGTTTTAATATTATACCTTCACATTTGAAAGAAATATATTATTTATAATTGCTTGCTGCTTTGATTATAATAACTTTCTCTCTATTAAGTATTGGCTATGTAACTTTATCCATTTTATTTTTTCAGAAAACAATAACAAGAGTTAGTTTTTATTGTTAAACATTTATTTTATTGTAAAGTTTAAAATCCATTTTACAATTTAGTTTTCAAAATATTTAATTTTATTATTTTGTAATTAAATATTTAATTTAATTTATTTTATTTAATCATTTTAATTTAATTTAAATTTTTAAATATTTTTTTTTAAATATTTAATTTTTAAAATCCATCCTTACAATTACATATTTTTAATTCTTGTAATGTGATAAATGTATTTAATATTCTTCACATTGATAATTTGTATTTCCCAATGACAATTTCAAAATATTTATGCATCAAAAATCATGTATCTAACTGGATTCGAAAACTTGTTAGTCTAAATTAAAATAATTTGTTTAAGAACTTTAATGAGATAATATAATTGTAAATACATTGACATAGCAATATCAGATGCGTAAATAAGTACAATTACAAAATTGTACTTTTTATGCATAGAACCTTTATAACTTCTTAACTATTATTTTCATTCTCTTGGTATTGGTCTCACTCAATTCTGAAAAAAATACATCAGAAGCAATGACTTGCTTGTCTGCCTAGAAAAAATTCAATTTCCCCCCTCAAATCATTCCCATTTCCCTCTAACAATGGGGAGCATACAGAAGAGAGTGTGGAAGATACCAATTTCAAGAAATGGGATATGTCATATTGCTACCAGGCACTATTTTAAGAATATCCCCAAATTATACATGATAATGCAATCTTATTAATTTAATAGTTATGATTCTGCCATAAAATAACAAATAGGTCAAATCATTTTATGAAACAATAACATACTGCCAAATGTTTTCCTGACAATACGAGAAATGTTTTTTAAAGAAAAATACACAATGAAAAAAGTAATGTGAAAAACATATACTGTTTGTATACAAAACATTTTTTTTATTGAAAACTGTTTTATTTGTTGATTTAAACAAATAATATATAGGCTATCGACTAAGACCAAGAATATAAGGACTTAGATTAATAATGACCTTTAATCATGTCCTTCTGATAAGTTTTTACATATGTAACTTCCTGTGTACCATCTAAATTATATAAGTTTAAAAATAGTTTTGCTGCAATAAAATAAAAATCTTAAATAAAAATAAACAAATTTTCTTAACTAATCATACTGATAATTTCAAATGTAATTTTTTTAGTTCTCTATGATCCAAGTTATGAAATCTACTCGTAAAGTGATAACAGTATTACTGTTCATCTTTGCTATCACTTTCTTACTAGTGTCTTTCACTCCACTTGGCTTCCCATATTCTGGTGATAATGAAGGTCCAGCTCCTATGAGATTATATGTTTTAGTAAGTTTAGAAAATCACTTTTTTTATATTCTATTTTAAACTGAATATAGTCAAACCTCGATCCATCCTTCCCACATTTTTCGTTTTTTCATATCATAGTGCATAGCATTTTTCAAAAGTGCTTAAAGGTCCTTATTTTAATTTTGGTTTTTTAAAAGCCCTTTAAGGTGCTTTTTTCATTGGGTGTTTTTAAAAAGTGCTTCATTTCCCTTTTTCGAAAATGCATTTTTATTCTTTTTATCATGTTAATTTTTTTATCATGTAGGTAAAATGCTTCAAACAACAGGTTTGATGTTAATACATTAATTGATCGAAAGGTTGAAACTTGTAGTGTTATCAATTCAAAAAATGGTTGCAGTAGCTTAAGAAATGCAAAGAGATACAGATGAAGACTGAATTTGACACAACCACCAATAGCAAATATTTGCAGAAGGCCACAATGAGAAACTTTGTGCATTTACGCACACTTTCAGAAAATGAACAGCAATCTGTAACAAATGTCTAAAATTTCCAAGTATTTTAAATAACTAAATATATTTATACTTCCTTCTTTTGCAGCTTAAAATATTTTTGCAGTATCTACACAAGTTTTTTAATTAAAATTTTTTAATACTTATAGGAAATTTATAAATTTTCGTACATTTTAAAATTATTATTCATTAGTTTGAGCTGGGTCGCATTCATCGTTTTCTCGTATCTATCATTCTTAAGTAATGGTTAGAAATGATTGAATGTGGTTTTACTGTATTTAAATTAAATATTTAAACTAAATTCTAATCGAAGACGAATTTCTGTGGTAGAGTTGTTGTGAGAACAAACTATTTTTTATATTGTGACACAAGCATTTTTTTTTTTTTTTTTTTTTTTTTTTTTTTTTTTTTTTTTTTTTTTTTTNTTTTTTTTTTTTTTGTGAAATAACAGTTTAATTTGGTAAGTAATCATTACATATTTTTGAAAATTCCTTGAAATATTCCATTAGTCTAAAGATGATTTAAGTCTAGCTCTTCTTAGAGTGTATGTTTAGGAAATTTCAAAATCAATGTCTTTATGTTATAAGCTTTTAAAAAAGTTACAGTTTGAAAAAGAAAGAAATTATGTGGACCTGTTTTGTAATTTAAAATATAAATATAACACTGATTTATTTTATATTGACTGAAATATTACTTCAAATTAGATTGTTAATAAATTTTAGAAAAATACCTTTGATTTTTTTTTTCTCTAGTTTTCATTTCTGAACTAATTTTGAAATATTTGAATTTGTTGATAAACTAAGCATTTTTTCTTTTTAAAAAATTGCAATTAACATGGTCTTTTATTAACACAATTGAAGTGTATTAATTAATTATAAAGTGCTCTGATTGCTTTTTATGTGCTTTTTTTTATAGATATTTAATTGAAAAAGTGATCACTAATAAATTAGTGATCGCTTTTTCCTCAAACCGCATGAGTCAGTGACTGATATCGATGGGTCTTTTTAATATTAAAGCAACTTTTTGCTTAGATTAAATTTATTTTTAAAAAAAATTCATATTAGAAATAATCTACAGCTATAAAAAGTTAATTCATCAATAAAAATAATATGAATATGTGACAAAATTTAGTTAAACATACTAACTTTAAAAAACTTAATTTGATGATATTTAGGGGGGCGAAATACATTATAACTTTAAACTTCAGGAATTGTTGAACTATCCACGTGAATCTTTGATAGTGATTGAATCTTTCCCCACAATTTGTGATTGAATCTTTCAATCACAAATTGATGGATTCTGAAAGATCAAAATTTTGAATGGAGACATTGGACGTTTTAATGAAAATTCTGTTTTCGAGTTTTTCTGCTTTGATTTGCTTTTATCATTAAACAGAAAAGGTATTACAGAAAAAGGTTGTTTACTTAATTTAAGTTTCTACTTTTTTGTTGACTCAATTTTTATTGTTTATTTCCAGGTAATATAATAATGGGTGATTTGTATTAGACAATTCGTTCCATTATATTCAGGTTTCTGAAATTTTATAATTTACCTAAATTCTACTTTTAAGAATTTTTTTTTTTTTTTTTTACATAGCATACTGAACGCACATTTTACAACAGAAGTGGAAGTGTAACTTCTACAGATTCTGGTTATTGGGTTGTTCCTCTTGATTACAATGGTCCAAAAATGTTAAAATCTTTCATAGAAGAAACAAAAGATTTGGAGCCCATTGATTGTGATAAAGAATTAGCTTGTGGAATGCCTTTTTATATGCCAGTTATTTCTTTATTGAGGTAATTCATAATATGATTAAACAATTTTCATAAAGCATATTTTTATTCATGAAACCTGTATTTATAAAAGTTTATTTGTCACTTGGTACTTAGATGAGGTCCTTGTTAAATCTTCTGTTAATAGGCTATCCATAAATAATGTCACACTTTTGTTTCAATATTTATGTGCCCTTGTCACGAAATGTCATACTTCACTTTATCCACTACAACCTTGTCACCTTTCAAGTTTTAATGCATAATCATATACTAGCAGTTTAAAAACAAAACACTTTTTATCAGTTATATTATAGATTTTATTTAAGCTACTAACGGTTCTGCGCGTAAAAAGTTGTAATTTAACTTTCCGCATAACAAAACCGGTTTTTCTATGTTATTAGATAGAAGAATAGTGTTTTGGGGAGAAACATTCTCTCAATTTTGCCCATTTTCTAAACCTCCAGTGGGTTAAACTTTAACTAAGTTTTAATGGCATTTCTGAGCATGACAATGATTAGGTAGGAATTTATTTTAATGAATAATCTAGTAATGATACTATGTCACATTTCTTATTACCCCCTGTTTCCCCTACTCACAAAATGTAGCAATTTTACAAACCCCCTCCCACCCATCCAAGCATGACATCATTTATAGACGGGCCCTGGTTGATGTTTTTATCTGCAATATAAGTTTTCTAAACATTTCAAATGAATCTTTTCTAAACTGCTTTAAATATTATTGAAATAAATTATTAATTTGTAATTACTGTTCCAATATTGTAATACCCTACCAGTCCTCAATTTATTTGAAAATACCAGCCTGGGTCTGCTTTGTATGGAAAAGTTTTGTAGTGATAGCAAATTCTATGTTTAAACATTTAATTGTATTTGTAAATTTCTTTTAAATTTGATTTTGTCCAATACCACAGATTATAACTCCAAATATATCTATGAAATGCCACTTTGAACTAGTTATCTCATGGGCTTGTTAAAATAATACATCAGAATTCAGTGTTAGATTACTTTCTAAAATATCTTGCAGAAATCATAACAGTTGATATCTTTGCTTGATTCTTTTTTAAATTGTTTGTAAAGAATTCATTTTTTTAGTGTATTAATTACTGTTACATGTTTGTGAACAATGTTTTTCTTACATTTCTTTCAAGACTAATTATCTTGTTTGCCAAAACAGTGATTTTATTATGCAAAATATTTTTTTTACTATCTTTTGTTAAACTAAAACTAGGTAGCAAATGCTATTTCAATCGTGCTATGGTATTCTTGTAACAGTTTAAAAGCTTTTTTACTAAATATTGATATTTTTGAAAATTGTAAAATTTAGAATTTTTCTTGTTAGGTTTATTGTATTTGTAAAAGTAGCCTGTAGTTATAAGAGATACTATAAGCTCTTAATAAACAATGTAAATTTTTTTGTTAGCTTGTTTTGTTTCTATGTTTTGTTTTAACCATGATTTTTCTATGACCAGAAATCGAAATCGAGACAAACAGCTCTTCACATGTTAAAAAATCACTTATAGTAAGAAAAAAAAATTTATTTGCAAGTTAAGTCTAACATAATGTCCATATTAAAAAAGGTTAAAATCATAAAAGATTTAATCACCTTTTCACATTGCTGTATAAGTTTAAAATATCATTTCATTTTAGTTAGGAAATGTTTATTTGTTAGATATTTTTTTAAAATATTATTTCTTAGATACTTATTTTTAATATAAATGATTGATATATATATATATATATATTTGTAAATATGTTTAAATTAAGTTTATTTTACTTTTTTTTTCTAGCATAAGTTACTATGTGCCTGCTGCAAAACCAAAAATTCATGGAAGTCATAAATTTGAAATAGTTTCAAAAGTGTTCTTAAAACCAAATACCTACAAAGTGACATTTAGAACACATGGTAAATAATTTATTTTCTGTAATCATTTGTTGATATTTTTGTGCTATACTAATATGAATAAAAGGGATCTTGTTTGTCTGAGCTGTGCAAATTCTACAATATTATATCATTTTTAAACCAAATATCTACGACTACTTAAAAATTGACATTTGAAGTACAGGATAAATAGTTATTTTTTGTAATTAGTTGTTAAACAAATACTTAAAAATAACTTATACGAATGAAAAGAGTTTTATTTGTTTCACATATTTCTTCATTTTACAGTGTTTAAATTTTTAAAATTCGTGAATTTTAAATGCCATCTAAAGTATTCCTTAAACAAAATATGACAGATTGACATTTGGGAGCTATGATAATTAATAAAATGACTTATTAGGTAATAAAACCTAATGAATAGTAAAACCTAATAATTAATAAATTGTAAAACCTATGATAAATAATAATTACCTAATGATGAATGATAATGATAATACCTAATGATAAACCTATGATAAATAATAATTACCTTTGGAGCTAATGATAAATAATAAATCAACCTTACAAATTGACATTTGAAATACAGGATGAATAGTTATTTTTTGTAATTGGTTGTTAAAATACTTAGTGAATAACTTATGTGAATAAAAAAGGTTTTGTTTGTTTTACATATTTCTTTATTTCACATTGTTTAAATTTTTGAAATTTATAAATTTTAAGTGGCATCTAAAAAAGCATTTTTAAAGTAAATTATGACAGATTGACATTTGTAACCTATGATAAGTAATAAATAGTATTGTTAAATGATAAAACCTAATAGTTTATTAAAAGTAAAACTTATGATAAATAATTAATTGACGTTTGGAACCTATGATAAAAAGTCTCTGTGCCTCGTCCTTAAAATATTTTTAGTCAACTGACACCAAAAGAAACAAGATTTTGTTTGCTTGAAGTTTGTACAGTGCACAATTTTTTTAAGCCTTACAATAAAATATACCGAAACATATCTATTTATATATTCTTATATGTTTATACCAATTTTTTTTGTTTTTAATTCTTTAAATCTAAAACATATTTATTTCTCATAACTGTACACTTTAGTGATAAACATATTAAATGAACAATTTAATTACAGTAGTTAAGTGTTTATTAAATAAATAATTTTTTGTTAACTTTAGGTCCTGATCATCAAACGGTAATTATCTCCCCCCGTGCAGGTGTTACATTGTCCAAATGGAATGTGACTAAGGAACCACCACTTCGCAGTTTAGATTGGGTTGACAGACCAACTTATTTCATATTTTATTCTTATGGCGAATACAAAGAACCATGGTCATTTTCAATTGACTTAACAGTATGCATATTTTTTATTACATCTTAACCTAATAGATGTGCTTTAGGTTTCATGAAGTAAGAATGTATGGTTTCAACACCAACTAATGTGTAAATTATTTAGTTGAAACTCTTAAAAATCATAAATAGTAGAAGAAAACAAAAAAAAAAAACTTTTTTTTTCACTGAACAAATGCAAAAAATTCTTATAATACGTAATTTATAATTTCCTTTTTATGAGCTATTAGTAAAAATTTAAGACTTATTTTTTCTTACTTTAAATATCTTAAACTAGTAATAATATAATTTTACTCAAAAATAATTTAAATATAATTTAAAATTTTTTTTTATTCCAACCTTTATTATAAAATTTTCAAGAATATTGTATTTGGTCAAATATTGAGATTCAAATTCATTTGTAATAACCGTATAGATTTTTTGACCGCTATTGAGGTATTAAAAAACAGTCTAAAGAAAAATAAATTTCCTTTCAACTTTAATAATTTTGTTGTTTTGATTAAAGAAATTTTAAACAAATCCTATTAAATTGGCCGATATTGAAGCCCGTCTAAGCAGGACTAGACGGTGAACTATTTGGTTTTCATCTTGTTATTTATTGGGATTTTGTTTTTATTTAAAAAAATTTATTGGGATTATGTTTTCTTTTTCAAAATATTCTGTTGGGATTTTTTAGACAGATGGCAGCACTTGGATTCTATAGCTCTTTAATTTGTCGATTTTTATCTAGGTGTCAGCACATTATTTTTTGAGCTGATTTGGTATATATAAGGAATTTCTTTTTCATTTTTACTAACTGTAACTGTTTTGAATATTTATATGTGCTTTGGGGGCGTTTTTTTTTTATGCCTTCTAAGTGTTTTGTATATTTGTTTCAGTAAAGGTGATTATATTGCAAATTTATATGAATGTTATAATGGTAAATATTTATTTAATGTGGTAATTATTATTATTCTTTATGCTTGTATTTTCATTAGGGGCCTCGAGGCACTGTTAGTTTTGGCTTTGCCACTAACAACAGAAAGGCTTCTGTGTGTTTACAGACAGTGTGTCCCCTGATGAAGTGCTGCTCTGTAAACACACAACTTTATTTAAATTTTTTAAAATTATATTTAAATTATTTTTGAGTAAAATTATATTATTACTAGTTTATATGATTTGAATTTGGTTTTAGCTGCCTTGTGCGCTGTTCCAATTTGAATTTGAATTAATGTAGTTATGGTTATTTTTATTTTTCTACCTCCTGTTTAATTAATTTCACTTAAGAATTTGAATTTACGTTTGGATTTAAATATCTTATCAATAAGATAAATTCTTGAAAAATATAAATTCAGTAGGACCTCGATTTAATAAAATAATTTGATTTGAACTGATTTTGGATAATTTAAATTAAAGCACTAACGTCAATTTTAATCTATTTTCATTTGTAAATTATGAAAATCCATGGCTTGTTTCTTTTTGAATAATAGTACTTTAATTTAATATAACGTTTTAATAAATGACTTTTGTCAAGTAGGTTTGAAGATATTCTTTTGATTTCTGTGCTTCTCCTTTGAACTATTCCTCCAGATAGCATTTTTCTTTCACTCCTTTATGAAATAAATTCTTTTTACGAAGCAAGACCTAATTCTAAATTGTTTGCTGATTTCATGATTTTCCAAGTTGAATTCTGTTGATTCCTATACAAGCTTTATAAAGTCTTTAACTTATACACATTATTAGGATTTTCTTTCATGTATAACATGCTGGCTTTTAGCAGAAGTGGAAGCCATGATGATCCAACTGAACTAATAATAATTGAACTACATTAATTACGAATTTCTGAATTTAGCAAAGCCAATCCTACCAACTTTACCAATTAACAAAATATTTTGCTTGTTACTCACTTAAAATGATACATTTTATTTAGTCATGCCCTATAAAGGATGTTTTTGTTCAATTTAATGGCCTTGTGTATTGCTGAATTTTGACAAGATATTGTTGAAATAGAAAAAATTAAAAAACTAACTCTGCATATATATAAAATAAAACACCTTTCAGAATATTGGAATACAAGAAGATATATTCTTTTGCATGATATTTGCCATTACAAATTAGTTTAATGTTGTTTTTACTAATTTATTAATTCAGTTAATTCTTTTGCCCAAATATAAATAATTTATTTCTTTGTAGGTATCAAAGGAATACATAAAAGATAATCCTCTCATTGATGTCAGTTTTATCACACACTATCTTCATGGCCATGACCTACTAACGGGCGATTTTCCGGCATTTTTGAAGCGAATACCGTCGTGGACACATGCGACGCCATGGACATGTACTTTAGATATGTTCGTCTTTTGACCCTTATAGTTAATTATAGATATAGAATTGAATTCATTCTCATTGTATATGAATTTTCCCAGTCCAAAATAACATCATCAACCATTATTTTTTAGTTTTTGTTTTTCAAGTCCATTAGTCTGCAAAATGTATGTTTATTAAATTTTATATGTTTATGGTATTTGTTCTTGTATCTCACTTTTAACTTAAAGTCAAAATTTTAATTTTTAAAAAAATTATCTTATACTGTATATTCATAGTATCTCTCATCGCCTTGAGATTGGAAAAATGGGCTATCTTTGAAAATATCAGCTGTAAATTGTTGGTACTACTCTACACTTATTATTATTTGTAATTCATAGAGACAGGCTTGATGCACTAGTAATTCTGTTGCATTCAATAACTTGATAAGTCACATTTATAAATTAACTTTAAATTGAGGATATTAATCTTATTGCAAATGAGGTTCTTATTCCATGTGAAAGCAAGCTCTAAATTTTTAGCATCTGGTAATACTCTTTTCTGCTGAAGTATGGTGAATGCAAGTTTATTATAATGGTATACACTGACATGATTGTCTTTTCTTGATATTTAAATTATGGTAAAGAATTTTATTTGTTAAAGTATCAAACGTAACATTTTTGTTATTTATATACTTCTCATTAATCAGTTCATAAATAACTGATGTCTTTCTGCTTTGTATTAAGAAGAAGAAAAAATGCTAACATATGAATATATTTTTTTCGCTAATTGATTTGTTCTCAAATACGTAATGCAAAAATTATTACATTACTTTATTTTGGTAATGTAAAGTAATATTGTTTAAATTATTCAGTTTCCTTGTTTGTTCAAGTTACTTTACGAGGTTATTTAATCGTCAAAAAATTATTTTTCGCAGATTAAAATATCAGAGAAATTAAATTTTCCAATAAAAAATCCAACAATTAAAAAATATTAATAGAAAGTAACATCTCACAACTTAGGGGCATAATTAAGTTTAATAACTTGGTACAAGGTCTCACAGACCTAACTTAACCAGTCAAGTGGCCATCAATCTCTGAATAAATTATTAGATTTATGTTCAATCTTTATTATTTTATTGTGATGATACATTTTGTTATACTTTTTTATTGGCTACTTTGTAGAGTATTTGTTTTAATAGCTTAAATTTTATTGATTGTTGTTATTCATTAGATGTCATTGTCTTTTGCATAAAATTTTTTTTTTATGTGCAATGAATCAAACAAATTTTTGATTGATTCATGAGACAAATGATTTTTTTATGTAATTTTTTATATATTGTGCCATAAATACTTAAAACGATTTCTTTAAAGGAATTACTATTGGTTTAAATAACAATTGGTGTCATTGTGCTGCATTACAATAAAGTAGAACATGTCATTTGCAAAATTATGCAAATGTTTTACAATTGTAATTATGCAAAATGTTACCAAGAGCACAAAGGCTCTAGGTAACATGCTGGTCAAAGTGCTTTTTACTGTATTTAAATGGAACAAATGTCTTCTAACTATATATCATTTGCTCTTTTATAAATTGTGTTCTATTTTATTGTGAATGACTACAGTACTTTTATGTTGTGTACAATTTAAAAAGTTCTAGAAATACTTCTTCAATGGCATGACAGCCCAGAGTGAGGCCTAGCCATCTCAGTTCTAGAAATAATTTCTCTACTTTTTATTTGTGAAAATATTGAAGTATAATTTTATTAACATTTATTATTTTACATGAATGTTCAACTTTTAAGATGCACTTTAACTTTTCTTTCTTGTTTAAAATATATGCACATTAAACAAAAGTTATGATTATAGGTGATTGCATGTAAGAAATATAATTTGTTTCATTTTTGTGATACTCGATTGATGCAATGAAGGTTATGTTTAAAAATGTTTTGGCATTTCGTACTAAATAGAGAGATTTATGTTTCTTGCTAGTTAGCTTGCATTTTGCCCCAAAATATATTCAAGGTTGGTACCTAGTTACTTCCTGTTAACAAGTTGGTTTCTCTTTCTGCAGTTTAAAAGAGAATTGCTGATTTAATAAAGAAGTCTTTATGCAATTTCGCTAAAGTGTCATTACATTAAAATTGTGAAAAAAATAAATGCATTCATTTTATTATATAACCAGATATTATAAAAAATATTTTAAATCTAGAAAAATATTTAGATAGTTTGTTGCTGGCATTTATTAACTATTTTTTATTTTATTTTTTATCCTTATGCATTCTAAATGCTTTCTTCTAATGTATAAAATTTTCAAACTATATTAGATGACTCATTACAATATTTGGAATGAAAAATATAATAGCTCTCCAAAAATTGAGCATGTTTTTAAGTATATATAAACAGTTTTATGTCTGATATTAAATAGCTGAAGATTACAGTGAAAAACCTCTCGGAAGCAATGACTCTCTGTTCGAGAGTAAATTGGTTGTTAATAGAGGTTGGTCATCCTTGGGAGTTACTTTCATTGACTTCAAAATGTTATAGGAGACACATGATTTTAATTTTATTCATTGTAATTTTCTTCGTGCGGAAATGCCACTGTTGTTGGCGTCATGAGAACTGAATTGATGCATAAAACTTAGCGTCAATTAAATTGACCTTTACTGATATAATTATACGTAAAATTTCAATTTACCAATTATGAAGAACTTTTTTAAATAAAAAAAACATTTATGTTTTTTGTTTAAGTTTGCATTTAATTTTGTATCATAAAAATTAGTTAGCTTTAAAAATTGAGAAGAGGTTTGTTTGTTTGAGATGATTAGTTTTTTTTATAAACTAACTTTTTTTCTAATTTTAACTTTGAATTCTGAAAATAAATCCTTGATAGAATAGTCTTTAGTGCACTCTGACATTGCAACATTAGGTTGTCAATCTCTTTTAAAGATCGTCAAAAAAAAAAAGAAGAAAAAAAAAAAGACCCATTCACAAATATTTTGAATCCACTTATTTGTTTTGTAAGTATTTTTTTTTGTTGTTATTTTTTCATATTTCCTTATTTTACCTTTTCTGCATTTGGTGCAGTGGTTTGTCCGGTCTTGGCAGAGGTTTTCTTCAACGCAAAGTCTATGGGAGAAAAATTCCATGCCCTCCAAAAGTGGTCGATACACAGAGGTGGTCTTTCCTGGAGGTTTCACTGTATAAGTTTGGGTCTAATGGAATTAATGTTCATACTAAATGAATGAAACATTTTATATATTAAAATATTAATTTTAAAATTGTTGTTGACTTCAAAAACTTTTTAATTGTTCATTTAATGTATAACACACTTGACGTGTTAAATTTGCTTTACTTTATTATCTAAAGGAATTTTTTACCGACAGTTACTGTCTTCCATTTTTATCTTCAAACAAAATAATTGACGTACGAAAAATTTAGTAGAAGTTGTCATTAGCGTTGTTTCTTTTGTTCACAGAATTGCTCAACTTATTTTCTGTTGTAACCTTTGTGTGGGACCATTCATTCATTATAAGATAAAGTGAATGAGTTATTAAATATCTTCTCTTACCTTGTTATTAAACTTCACAGGTTCATATGCTTTCATAAATCACGTGATCTCTGTTTCTTTCTTTTTTTTTTTTTTTTAATTAAACTTGAGTTCTAAATTTTAGTTGCTTATTGCTTATCTATGTTTTCTTTAATATTAATTTTCGGTTTTCAAAAACAAATGAAGCGGTTTGTGGACTCCAGAAAAATAAATTAAAGGACAAAATTGTTAAAACCAGAGCTTAGTAAAGAAAGTTATGTGTGTTAAATTTTATTGAAAGCAACAGATGACATAATATTAATTATTAAGACAAAAAATAAATTCGGTGATGATAATAAAAAAGCCAACCCAATGTAAAAATAGTCACAAGCATTAAATAAATTGCTTGCAAGCTTAGATACAACACTTGTTTACTTGCAAGTATAGATGCAACACTTGAACTTCATTATTCCTTTTTAATGTAAGGATAATTGTTATATTTTCTTCTAATTTTTCTTTAAACTTTATTTTGAAAGGAATTTTTTTTTAAAATTGTGTTTTTTCAAAACTTAGATTTAAGTCTTGCCTTTCAATAAAATGTACCGTTTTGTAAAGGGGAAAAAAACATAAGAAAGTCAAGGCCTTGAAATATTTTTTTTTTTTAATTATGATTGTGGGTAATATTTATCTCACTTTTTTATTTGTCATTGTTTTTAGCTATGCATAATTATTTGAAAATTTAATTCTTAAGATGTTAGGAAAATAAGGGAATAATAAATGTATTTCTGCTAAAAATATAATTATGTTCCTACAATTTTCCTTTTGCTTATTTAATTAATTAACTGAATAAAAATTCTCTCAAACTTTTTCCAGAGTTAAAGTAAAGAATAAAGAGATAATTTTTATAATTGCTAATATGCATTTAATATCATTATTTTTTCTACAAATCTTTATTCTAGTATTAATCTCTTTTCATTAAAAATATAATTATGTTTGTTTGTCTTATAAAGTTTACTAAATATTTTATTTAATGTGCCTTTGTCTAAATTTGTAAACCTTTATAAATACCAAAGAGTTATATGTAATTTTTAATTATTTATTTTTTGTGCAAGATCTCTATTTTATATGAGTAGTAGAGTGTTTTAATGTGATGTACTGGTTGTGTTAATATTTTTTTAACAAAAACATTCTTAAATAATGAAACTCCTTATGTTGAGACCTACATAGATTTGTAAAAGCCCCATGCGAATGCAAAATATTTTTGTTACAAAAATGCTTTTTAGAATTATATTAATATTTTACTGTACTTTATGGTTTATATTGTGATTGCTGCACTGATTGCAACAAGGAACCCAAACCTAGTAATCAAGGACTGCTAACTATAAATTACAGGAACTAAAGGAAAAGAAACATTGCAAACAATTAAAAATGACGTTTAAAAATAATTCTATTCTTAAGAAAAAGGAATGGATTAGTAAAGAAAGAGTATTATCTTCCTGTTTATTATTCTAGTTATACTTTTTTATTGCATATCGTATTAAGTTGTTTGCATCTAACATGTAAGTGGAATCATTGAATCCCAAACATTCTTGTATTGGAGTCCCATACTGTACACAAAATAAATAAAAATTAGTAAAAAAGTTTTATGAAAACATTGGAAAATAAATAAATTTTTATTTAAATCTCTGGTTATGAATATCCGTTATGCTGAACAAAACTGTCTTAATAATCTATTCGGAAAAAAAAACTTGGAACTCTGCAAGTTTGCTTTTTTTTTTTCTTATTAAATTTACACACAGTATGAAGTAAATACAACATTGATCTTGTAGTATTTTAATAAATAATAATAATAATTTAGCTTATTACCTGAATGGATTGAATTTCAAAATGCATGGGGGGCCACTCATCAGTCCTCAGGACTCAAATTAGTCTTGGGAAAAAAAAAGTCAGTGGTCTAAATTTAGTCCTCCAATTAAAATCTATTTTCAATTTGTTTTTTAAATTAATAATATATATATATATTTTTTAAGAAATGTAACAAATATTTTTTGTTTAAAATAATTTTTTAAAAATAATTACTCTTTTTCATAATTATTGCTGTTTTTTCCTTCTGATGTTTTGAAATGCTAATGGAAGTTAAATTAAGATTGATTGTTTTTATTATGAAATTTCTAGAGCTAAGGGAAGGATGAAGTGAAAAATAAGTAGAGATATGAATGGATTCAAGGTATTTATTCAGTGATTACTCTAAAATGATATAATAAGTTAACTGTTATATTTGTTTTGTTTGCTGTAAAAATAGAGTAATAAAATGAAGAAAAATATTGTCTTAAGAAAAAATAAACAAATCATTGATTTGAGGACCATTCTTGTGGAAAGGTAAATTTGGCAGTCAATAAGCTATTAATTTCTGAAAATTTTGCTAAGCAATGCTAGACCGTGTTAATTAGTCAAAAAAGTTCAGTGTTGACATTTTTTTGGAGTGGCACCCTTGCAAAATGAACAAATGCATCATTATTTACTAGTTCTAAATATTAAAACTCGATCCTTATAAACTTGGTCGTGTTTTCAGAAAAGAAATGAACCACATAACCCATCTCATGCTTAAACTTAATTTCCTTAATGTAAACAGGTTAATAAATTAGTTTTTGATTGTTATTTCAGTCTTAGCCAAAGTGAAATTTGTAGTCCTTGGGAATTTATACCGAAATAGGTATTAGTAAAATAGTTATTTACTCACTAGTTAAATAGGAAAAAAATAAACTACTCGATATGTCTTCTTGACTAGCTGAAGAATGATGAATATTTAAGTCGTATAGTGAAAAGAATTTTTTATTCCTAAAATAATCTTTTTACAACTAATCGAAACAGAATTCATAGACTTTAAGGTAGTGAATAAGTTAAATTATTTAATATTTATACATATTTTCATTGTTATTAATGAATATGAAGGAGACATTTAAAAATATTTAATCAGAAAAGTTTCAACCTATATAGCATTGTCCTAAATCTGCTCTTCTACGAAAAGCTAATATGGGGTTTTCTTCTATTTCTCAAATGTTATAGTAATAATAAGTAGACAATCAACTTTAAGGATTTTGACTATTTACTGTTATTTTAAAGTTAAAAAAGGAATGTTTTCATATGAATTCTAAAAGGAGTGTTCATAATAATATTTCCTATCTATAATCTGTTCATGTTGATAGTGTTGTTTAAGTATTTAATTTATAGTCATAATTGTTTTTTTTTAAACTTTATTTTATTGAAATAAAATATTATACTATAAATTGAGTTGCATTTATTTACCAGCTGTCAGCTAGTCCCCATTGATTAAACACATACACAAGACTATAAAAAATACAGCATTTAATTTAGTGTAACACTGAATCATCTATGAATAAGAACGTCAAAAATATACCAATCAGAGAACGTGCATGATTTTATATTTACAGAGTGGGACGAAAGGACCGTCCTTAACATATTTTGTTGTATTATTACTGAACAATAAACGTATACTCTTTCATAGCAGTAGGTCAATGTGATTTAAAAACAAAATTGTCAAATAACAATTAAGGAGGACGGGTATAG